ATATCTTATTACAATAGACATACCTTATATACCTAATAGTATTTAAAGAAGCTTATCAAGAGTAATCCAACTATTTTCTTTTTCACTTAGTCCAAGCCACTTAACAAAAAGTTTATTGCCATTTCGTCTTATAACATTTTCTATTAAAAAAATATCGGGGTATTTAGTTTTTTGTAATTCATACTCATAAAAGGAACCGAGTATTTTTTCTTTGTGCATATCCTCAACGAGGTAGGTAATTGGATTAGAATCGTTCACTTTAATAATTTTGAATATTTCTGTTGACCAATTTGGTGTATAACCCTTTGAAAATTGGCTTTTGTACTTGCTTATTCTAACTTTGTCACCAACTTTAAATTTGGCCTTGTGTGTTACAGATTTCATTTGTGATTTTAAAATATTATTTTTCACTCTGTGTTCATTGTCCAAATTTACTTCAATTGGTTTAAATTTGGTAGTCCGATGAACAGTGTTATTATAAGATTTAATAACCGAGTCTAAAATACTGCCAACCCATCGGTAGCTACCATTAAAGCTAAAATATTTATATAACCTCGTTTTCAAAGTTCTTATTAACCTTTCAACAATTGATGCCTTTTTAATAGAATATGTGGAATAATGGTTTATGTGATAATTTTCTACAAGTGTTTTAAACAAAGAATTATAAAACTCTTTACCTAAATCAGTTTGCAAATTTTTAGGACAGCGCTTAGAATTTGTTATAATAGTTTGCATAGCTTTTCGGATTTCATCTTTCTTTTTAGTTTTTACTGGTACTGTCCAAGCAAATTTGGAAAATGTATCAATTACAACAAGTATAAAATTATTCCCTTTGTTTTCTTTTGAATATTTTTGCATATCAATCAAGTCTGCTTGCCATAAATCATCAATTCCTCTTAATATTACAGAACGGCGTTGAAAATTTTTTCTTGCTGGTTTATGAAGCTCATTAACCACACACAATTTTTCCTCATGTTTTATTATGTCTTTTTTTGAACAAATTGATTAATTTCTTCCTTTGTAAAGTAGTTTGCATCTAATAATACATGTAGTTGCTGTGTAAATAGTTTTAGATATGAATCCACAATATGTGTTATCTTTGTGTCACATTCCTTTTTGGTATAATACTGACTTAGTGATGAGTCAACAAACTTTTTGTTCACTGCTTCGTCATCTAGCAAAGGGTCTGCTAATCCACGTAACCTGTTGTTTTTTAAATCATAATATCCTGATTCAGTCTTTTTTAATGTATTATTAACCGCATCAAAATAATCTGATATACGTAATCTTTTATGAACATGGTGACCAAATTTGTCTATGTTCATGTTGTTTACTTTATTAATTTGAAATGTTAAATGACATTTTTTTTATCCACTGATATTTAAACTAGTGAATCACATCAGCTTCCCGCAATTCTTCAATAATAGATATTATTTCATTATCAAGCCCAGTATTGCCAGCGTCTCTAGAAGCTATAAGTATTTTTAGTCTTTCTACTAATTCATTTGGGTCATCCCAATAAACATAATCGGTATTCGCCTTTACTTTCTTCAGGATTGTCATACCTTGACCTTGAGCTAAACTTTCATTACTAGTGCTTATGTCACTTTTTGTTAATTTAAAGAGTGGTTTAATAACGTGATTATATTTCTGTCCTTTGTTGCTTTTAATAGGTTTTTTAGGATCAAAATCACGTCGATGAGCATTAGTTTCTAACAATATATTTCTATAATTTTGTTTGTCACTTTCAGTAACAACATCCAAATCAGGTGTATTTCGTGTTAATAACTGCATTAGACCGGGAGTTTTTTTATATCTATTACCACCGACATTAATACACGCATCCTCATCGTAAACCCTTACATTGCCCATCATAAGTTTTCCACGATCAGACCGAAGACCAAATGTTACGTTGTCTATATTGTCTGAAGATAAAGACCATGATAATGATCTTTTATCAGGACTCTCAGAAGGAGCAGATGTGAAAGAATCTTTACTCGACTCATGCTCATCTGACGAACTAGAAGAACGTGGTGAGGTAACAATAGTAGATTTCAAATATTTAGGAACAATGTTATCATCCTTTTCTTGAAAAGTTTCATCCTTATCGCTGTATGTTTCAGAATGCTCACCATCTGAGAAGTCAATTTCACTATCATCATCATTATTTCGATTGCGTTGGGCTGGTAACGTTGTGTGGTTATTTGCGTTTATTTTATTAAGCGGCTCCGTTATGGGTTTAAATATTGATTCTAAGACTTGATCACTTGTATTTTTTAAATCTTGCATCTTTCGTACTTTCTTCTTTATATTTGCAGCTGATTTTATTATTTGTTTCTTATATTGTTGTTCCATGTTGATTTTGTAAGCACCTTATCAACTTGGTAGCGAATGAAATAATGAATGATAATAGTATTTACTAACGCGTATTATAATATTATATTTTGGTAGTCACTCATGCAATATCATATCATATAAATTTTAATCAAGAACAATGAATGTGTCAAAGTTTTTTCTATAACATCCCTTATTTTTTTCACAGTCTTTATTTATTACAACATAGCTGAATGGCTCCTTCCATACTTTGGAACATACTTCACGAAATTCTACCCAAGTCATATCGGAGCACACGTGTTCATCATAGACATGTCTTAGATTGACGTCATCTTGTTTAAATAAAATAATAAGGTTTGCATTATCTCTGATTAGATGTTTAGGTATCTTAGTATAAGTCTGATTCAAATAAAAACAGTCTATATTTTTATGTCGACCCATAGCAAAATAATCACGGATATTGTTTTGGTTTTCACACGCAACATCATCAAATATTATGATTGAATTTGGTTTCGCTTCACTAGAAGATATAACTTTATCATTTTCACAAAATTTGTGTAGCGTAACGCTTGGTACCATATCTATAACTTTTTGTAAGAAAATGTATTTTGGTTGATATAGAGATTTAGAATATATGTAAAGGTTATTGTATCTTAATCCATTTTCATGCAATAAAAGACCAATAATCAAATTAGTTTTCCCACAGTTTGAAGGCCCACATATCACACATCGTACAGTATTTGGTAATAATTTACCATGACGCATAATATGACTTCTCTTTTCTAAACATAATTTATCAAGTTTTAATTTTTCTTTTTGTTTTATAAATTTCATGGTATTTTACAATTCAATGTCAAGTTTATATTAAGGACTTCGTTTAAATGGTATACATTTTATATTGCGTCATATATTTATATCAAAAGTAGTTGTAGACTGACTGACAAGTCAATCCCTAAAATCATGTTAGCGTACCGAATCAAACGTTCTACAGGGTTCTAACATGCGTTATTTAACGTTTAGGACATAGGGAAAAATATGTGTTTAGGGCAACTCATGAAGGGGTTGGGAAATATTGGGCAACTCAAAGCCAACGGAGTGAAGCCAGGGTCCCGGCAGGGACCTAATAATGAGCATTAAACGTTCTACAGGGTTCTGACATGCGTTATTTAACGTTTAGGACATAGGGAAAAATATGTGTTTAGGGCAACTCATGAAGGGGTTGGGAAATATTGGGCAACTCAAAGCCAACGGAGTGAAGCCAGGGTCCCGGCAGGGACCCTGGCTGAACGGAGTTGGCTTTGAGTTCCCAATATTTCACTACTTACTGCCCTGATTTGGCAAGCTTATCAGTAAATAGAAAACGTGTAAAAAAAAACCAAGATATTGAATGGGCAATGCGCTCTAGCGTGTCAGTCGTACAAGACAGCATACAAAATGACAAACAAAAAAGTTTCCTTTGCCACGCAAACGTAGAAATATTTAATAAAAAAAACTAGTCCATTTCTTTGTAAGAAGCATAGTCCATATTCAAAAATCTGAAAATTAGTATAAATGAGACATTTCCTTAACTAACTTAATCATAAGAAAAAAAGAAAATAAACCTTACAAAAATAAATGAAATCCCACCCAAAACATAAATGTGAAAGGCTGCCAAGTTCGATAATATTGGAATGCTTCGCCTATAAAAGAAGTGAGATCTAAATAAGTACCAAGTTCCATACACAGACCTCAGTTAAAAATAGTTACAGGAATTTACACTTGATTTTCCGCAGTTTGAAAAGTAGATTCTGAATAAATATCATATTAAGGCTAAACGTCAGACTAGTGGCGCCCCCAAACAGGAAAAAAATCCCTGGCTGAACACGCTGGTCATCTGGAGGCCAATGTATGAATTACCGACAATAACTAACCACAAAGAATATACAAATCAAATATAATAGATAAATATTGGTATCCATGAGCTATGTATGCCGAAATTGCGAAAAGTGGCCACTTTTAGCAATTTTGGCATACATAACTAAAGCGCACAGTTTTCGCAAGGTTTTACTAATTCTAAAAATTCTTTGTTGTTAGTTATTGTCGTTAATTCATAATGTAGTTTCCCAATCACTTACTTATTCAGTCAGTGAATTTTTTTCACTTAGCGGCGCTAGTGTCGCTAAGGTTGAGCCTTAAAAACCTAAAATTGTAATACTTACAAAAACGCAAACCTGTTTTTTCAGCAGTTTCCTTATGACTTTTTTTATTTATTTTTTTCTGTACTTTGTAATGATATAACTTGGCAAGTTTTAATACAAAATTATATACTTGACTCATTGCGTTTAGTAGGTTTATAACAAAGTGTGTGAAAACTTGCCAAGTTATATCATTAAAAAGTACAGAAAAAATAATTAAAAAATGTTATAAGCAAACTGCTGAAAAAACAGGTTTGCGTTTTTGTAAGTATTACAATTTTAGGTTTTTAATATGATATTTATTCAGAATCTACTTTCCAAACTGCGGAAAATCAAGTGTACATTCCTGTAACTATTTTTAACTGAGGTCTGTGTATGGAACTTGGTACTTATTTAGATCTCACTTCTTTTATAGGCGAAGCATTCCAATATTATCGAACTTGGCAGCCTTTCACATTTATGTTTTGGGTGGGATTTTTTTATTGTACAGGATAGCTGATCAGGCGCAGTGGTTGTGCGACTGCCTGCGACGCAGATAGCTCTGGGTTCGATCCTCGGTGAGTTAAAGATGATATTTATCACTTTGTGAATTAATTCGGATGGTTAGGACAAGCTGGACCAACTGATTGTCCAAAAGTAGGATGATTCGGTTCTATGAATGTGATGTTAAGCCGATGGCCTCGGTTGCTGTTTACGATTACTTTGAAGGCGGTCGTTACACAAAAAACATCAGAGGCCTGACTACTACAAGTAATAGTGTAGGAGGTTGAAAAATTCTGACACTAGTGTTCATCGGGTCACAATGACAAAAAAATGAGACATGGCATGTGCCCGACCACTAGCCAAAAAACATCCATTGAAAATAGATAATACGCTAGTAGAGCGTCGTAGGTATATTCTTCGACTTGTTCAATAAAATATCTCCAAAACGTGTAGATAATTGTGCAATATTGACCTAACTCATACCATTTTTGTTTTAAAAGTGGCGCTAGTGTACTGGCGCTAGTGAGAGCGGTGATTTTAACTAGACTGGAATTGTCTGTTCATTTTGGACAAGGACATTATTACATGCAGTGGTTGTACTGGTTAACGTACTTTTTACGGACGTTATCTTTTTCAAACTTATTTCGCGAAAAACACTGAAAACTTTTGCTCACAAAGTTTTGGCCACACTATCCCTTCGGAATACCGTTTTTGGTATAATAGCAAAGGATAATTATGTTGAAATAATAATAGCAACGAAAACTGACCCTGAGAATACCTATAGAAAAACATTGTTTTGTACAAATTGAGTTTCTCTTGGCCTCATTCCACAAAAGCACTCAGTCCGTTATCGTAAATCAAGTTTCAATGAATTTAAAATCAAGCTGTCGAAACGTTTTGTTTGCAATGCGAAAAACAATGAGTTTTCGTTTAAAAATCTGGTCTGAATTTATCTAAAATCAGGTCTTCTTCTGTTTGTGTGGACTACAGAATAGTGTCAAACTTCATCCAGATGTACCAGAAAGTAGCAGGCCTCTGACATGGTTGTGTAACGGGGTCATTATTCAGATTTCGATTCTCGGCGTAAGCTGCGTGGCAAATTTTAATTTAAGCAATTTGAAGATGATGACAATAAAATATGATTCTGTATACTTTTCTGATTACAGAACAGTTTGGTGCTCCTTGCTAGCACAATTACTTTTCGAGAAATTTAATTTTTAAATTTTGTGTGCCACGCAGATTACAAATCAAGCCACGCAGATTACATAGCGAATTTAAGCTTTGTATTTCCATTAGTTTTCTATAAGTTTTACTTGACTTAAGTCTAGGTTATAAGGCAAACATGGAGTCTGTGATGGAGACAGGTCATCCTACTAATATTATAAAGGCGGATGTTTGTGTGTGTGTTTGTTACGACATCACGCTAAAACGGCTGATTAGATTGACAAGATATTTTGCACAAATATAGAACAGTGTCTAGAAGAACACATAGGGTACTTTTTACCACGGGAAAATGTCTCATTCCTACGGGATCACGCAAAATCCAATATTTTTGAAATAGGTGGCGTGACCGAGCCGATTCGCGTTTTAAACGCGCCGAAAACTAACAGCGACATCTCTTGGCGAGTAATGCTTTTTTCCCGCGGAATAATAGGTTGCAGCGGGTGAAACCGCTGACGGGCAGCTAGTGGAAAATAAGTCTTTATTCACTACTACCATAAAAAGATTATAAAGTATTATGATTTTGAAATCAACAGATGCAAGTAATTAGTTCCTGTCTTTCAGTGTGCATAATGAAAGACGATTCAGAGTGCTTAGTCCGAATTGGTGGATTGGCAACTAAATATGGATGGTATCCCGTCAAATATACTTACAGGTGTTCTATGGTGGAAAGGAGCTGGCGGAATAAGGTCGTGGAGGTCTTGGTTCAGCATAATTTTGAATAAAAATATGATGAAAACTAGCAGTCAGGCCATCTTGCGACAAAAAGCAAGGCTGTGTAGATTGGTATTGATCAGATATGTGTCGTATTGAGTTCCATGAAATCAAGAGCAACTTATGGACTAATTCATCCAAAGGGTGGCCGGATTTCTACACACAGGATCATCAGGCTTGAGCTATATATGAATTCTTTAATGCAAACATAATAAATAACAATTGGTGATACTTAAACTTTTTAAGCTTAGTTTTATAAGAAAGTAGTGATTCTTAGGCTCTGAAGTGAAATCGAAGTTCAGGATTGATGACAACTCAATGCCCAGTCAAGCTATTCGCAATGACAGAAATAAGTGTACTTCAGAAAAGTAGTTGTCTAGTCGAGAGGACTACTTTCAGATGCAATAAAGCTCCTGCATCGTGGTAGACCAGGGCTTTATTTTCGCAATTTCCGCTCTGCCGATTTGGACTTGACAATGTCTCTGTGACGGTACTGTCTTCTGCATACCTATGAATACCAAACTGAAGTAGTTAAAAGCTATTCTGAAGGAAAAAATCGCCGAGAGACTAGAACCTTGAGGACCACAGGCATCAATGGCCATGAGGTCAGAGAGATAGCTGTTATTGATTACAAAAACCAGCTGGGTTGTCATAAACAGAAGCTTGCTGAGGTGTCAGGTCAAGGTTTCTGCCAGACATTGTCCAGCTAAAAGCCTTCGAAACGTCAAGCGAAGTGGCAAGTTCGCCATGTTTGCCCAAGCTTACGCAAAAAGATTCCCAGTAATCTTAGGTGAAAGTCACATTGACGGCCGCAGTTGGTAGAGGCAACTAACAAGTTAACTCACCATGGACCAACTCCGTCAATTGCAGTAGATTTAAATAATATCAGGAAGATTTGACTCTCCACAGACATTGTGTCGCCCAGGACACGGTTATGGAATACGCAGGGTTGTCTAAGCCCTATGCGACCCTCTCGGCCTCCCTGGCTGGATCAGCAAGAAAGACAGGTCAGCTGCAGGTGTTTGCTGCACATTAGACTTATATGACACGCGTTTGATGGAGACCTTCTTCCTCACCATGACGTAACAGTAAATCGAGTTAACGCTATCGCCCTGTTTATGAACAAATGATACCTACATAAGCAAGGGCTTTGGCATTGTACTTCTTTTAGAAATAGGTAGTGCAAGCGGAGATATATTTAGCAAGATTGTCAGCACAAGAGATAAATCAGGAGCACTATGTCTCAATACTATCTATCTATATTATATCGATATATATTATCGGATCTACCTTACAGTTTTGACTTTTGGCCTCAAAATACACATCAAGCCTATGAGACAACGATCACTCGCATCGAAAAATTGCTGCAAGACATAGTTAGGTGGTTGAATAGAGCCAACGTTTAGTATGTTTTGACAAAACATGCACTCAAATCCATCAAAATTGGTAAAAATTCTATGTCCAAATAATGAATATTAGGTAAAATAATAGTATTTAAAATGGTTATTTCAACCTTTTTTTTTAACTCTTAGAACCATTGTGTAATCTGCGTGGGAAGAATTGTAAGCTGCGTGGGTATTTTGCCACGCAAATTACTCCACGCAGATTACAAAAACAGAGTATTTTTGATAATAACTCGGCCATCTTTTATTGAATCTAAATAACATTATAGACCAATAGTCCCGACTATATTACAAATCAGCCCTGTAAAAGACGAATCTCTAAGAGTTTTAATTCTAGAAGAAATTTGAATCCACGTAACTTACATGCAAGGGTAGCAAAACTTGTGTCAGCCCTTATTTTTGGAAATATTTTTAGTTCTGGGCACTGAGGTGCCCATTCACTATGCTTGATTATTGAAGCATATCATAATAATTTGAGGAACAAAAACTCAGCTGGATACGGTTATAATCTTAGAAGTTATGACCGATTTTACCACGCTTGGGCTAACTGTCCGAAATCGTGTGACCGACACATATTCGGGTTTATTTTTAAAATTACACGCATTACATATTTTCTTCATCATTCACCTAATATACCTATTGCTTTATGACGATTATTTTGATATACAATAGACACGTACAAAACATAAGGAAAGTAGTAAAATCATAATTTGTAAAAAGTTTGTGCGAGGTGTGACACGCGGAGAACACCAAAAATCCCCCCGTTTTCAACTTTCAGACTGGGTTTTCAAATACTAAGTGAATATAAAATAAGACTTTTTAATCGATTCCACATAGGTATTGAAGTGTTAAATCATGTCCAATCAATCGATATGTCCAAACTTGTATAGTTTAGTATTTACAACCCTGTGACCGCAATTTCCGACCCTTTGAAGAATGACCCAACGATCGCCATCATAGATAGCAACCGGGACCGACGGCTTAACGTGCCCATCCGAAGCACGGAACCATCTTACTTTTCGGATGATCAGGTGGTACAGCCTGCAATCTTCTTACCAGACTGGGAACAAATTCACAAAGTGATATATATCAACTTTGTGAGTGACCCCACCGAGAATTGAACCCGGAACCTTCTGCGTGGCAGGCAGGCACATATGCCAACCACTGCGCCACATCGGCTGTCATCGAAATCAGCGTTCACAAAATGAAATGGCGAAAATCAATTTCATTATGCGAATAAAACTTTCATTAAATACGGACTCTAATTCGGCTAATTTACCGTATTGTGATTCTTTATTCGTGTTTCCATCATTAATTTCTTTGTTAAACTTTTTTGGGTTGTTGTTTTGTAGGTAAGGAGAATAATTTGTTCCCAAAGAATATTATTGGTGTTATTAAGAAGAACATATCGGTCATTCTTGTATGGACAACAAATCACTGACGCAAAACTACCAGCTATTTTCTATTTCTATTTCAGCCGCGGACGCGGCGCATGTCATGTCACTGTCAAAATGACTGGTTCGTATGGGCTTGTATGATGTACCAGAAAGTCCACGCCACGCCGTGCATATAACACGACGCTGTCACATTGACGGCGCACTACGCCGCGTACAACGCCCGAAGTTTAATTTCACCTTACATGATGTGTCGACACACTAGGACCGAAATTACGCGACGGAATTCGGCGCAATCACGCCAGCAATGTAATATGCATTACGATTACACACTTTCAGACAAAATTCCGT